GTGCGTAGTCCTATCAATATATTAATAATTTTCCCTATTAATAATCTGTTGACAGAGCGTTTGGGGGACATTACTGATTAACACGCGAGATGAGGAAAAGCTGTTGGGTTCCACCTCAGAGCGATTTGCGAATCGAATGGTCTCGTTCGCTTAAAAAGCGTGCCGTTGTTAAAAACTGACATTAAAAGTGACAAAGTGTTGCTGCCTAACAAGCAATTTGAAACAGGTTTCCTACCCATGAAAATTAGGCGTATCGGGCGAAAACTGTAGGAGGTCGGTAGGCCTAAACGCCACTGGCCGCCCAAATTGATATTCGTTAGAGCTTTGGAAAATTTCGACCTCGCACCGGTTAAATTTATGGAACTTTTTTTTTAACGTTAGTGTTCTAATTAATTTGGCACGCCGTGCTTGACGAGCTCAAAAAAGAGACTTGGCAGAGCCATCCGCAGGTTACAGAACAGACATCTTCATGCTTGCATCTCAATAGTCGAGAGAATGACTTCAACTGACAGTTGTACGAAGAATTGTCTGAAATGCTCACGCCAGTGCCTCTATTCCTTCACCACGTGGCGACCAGGGGGTGGGGAGACAAGGATTGGATGTCAGCGCGGGCTGCCAGTGACTGTTGACTTACGCATTGGCGTGTAAGAATCTGCTTATAGGAAACTATAAACTACACCATTTATAAAGAATGCCTTCAGAATAAATGTTACAACTTCTAGGAAGGCGGTTTCAAGTATCTTTTCTTTTTTTTTCTTCAATATGACTTTGGGGGTGAAATCTAATGAAATGTTGTGACGATTTCCCTGGCTAGGTAGGCAACTCGTATTGCCACTTGGTGTTCGACTAGTGCATGAAATCTCTCTTCATGTGGCCAGAACGTGACCCTCCAAACACTAGCGCGTAAAGATTTCCTGTACGATCAGGGTTCAAACTACGCATTTTGTAATTTAATTAAATGTGGATTTCCCCCCAGATGTTCATTTAAAACAGAAAGTTCTTCATCAACCCCCGTACACATGACCTAGAAGTTTTGTAACGTTTATTCTGAGAGATTGTATGTAAAATCGGGACAGCCTTGCGTGTGCCCGTCCTACACCACGGTTAAACCTCGTCCGGTTCACCATTCCTGGCAAATTTGAGCTAGCAGGGCGTAAATTTCAATGCATCTCGCTCTATTAACAGGGAACTGGACCGTTTAGTTCCGAGACCTTCCCAAAGCATACTTAAAAGGTCTTATATATTATATATTTTATTTTTTAATTTTTTTTTTTTTTTTATTTTTTTTTATAACTCTACGTAAGAATTACTGGCACTATTTTCAACTGCAGGAACTTTCATTAGAATATTCCGTGGAAATTCTGGAAAAAAAACTTTCGTTACTTAACCTGAGTATTAGCTATCGTTTATTTTAATTAAATCTTTATAAAATTATTTGAAATTTATAAAGATTAATTGCAGGTATTTCAAGTAGAATTAAGTTTATTCAATATTATGGAACATCATTAAGATGTGAAATGACAATATCAGAACTTTCCAATGTGAAACCCTGTTTTCTGCCTTTCTTCTGCTTACATCTGTTGTTTTTCATCTACTTTTTTTTTTTTTTCATTCAGTTTGTTTCTTCTTCCCAAAATGAGTTTAAGGGTAAATGAAATAAACTTGATTTAGAAATGATGAGAACTAGAAGAATGATCAATGCCAAACGAATTTAGCACAAAATTTCAGAATAACTTTTGATGGACATTAAATATTTTAATAAAAAAATATCCTTAGGTGAATGAATTTTGACATATATACACACACACACACACACACTCATTCTTTACAATAATAGTAAGGCTTATAAAAAGTAGTATTTATAAAAATAGTATTTACAAAAAGAAAAAGTACTTCCTACCAAATGTATTAATCTTTAAAAATTAAAAATGCAAAATGAATGTAATGTATAAATTTTGTAGTTATAATAAATAAATTTAGTTAAAACAACATTTCTTTAATTGATTTATTTCTAAATGACGTTCGTTAAATATTTTTGGAAGGTACCTGTGATTAACCAAAGCAACTGTATCAGTAGTTTCTTTTAAGTAACCATTTTTGTTAAAAAAACCACCACACCAAGTTTTATTTCTTTACCAATTGCTTTTTTCTTACACAATGTTTCTTATTCTAATAATACCTAGATAAGGTAAGTGATCTACTTTCATTTATAAAAGGGACAACTTGCTTAGTAACAATGCAGAGCCAAAACTACTGAAACTTGAAATGTGAAATTTGGAACATATTCTCTTGCAAGAAATGTAACTGCTAAGACATGATTTTTCTAAATTTGTATCCATAAGATCAGAATTTGAGATCAAAGGGGCAAAATAGGGGAAATTAGTATATGATACACATTATATAGATTTCATGAGATAGGAGGTGGGGATGTGCACAAGTAAAATTTCTTCCATTTTTCACAGATTGAATTCATATCTTTTTTGGTCTGTAGAAAGGATAAACAAATATACAGGCAATGTTGGGCAGTCAATATTTCAAGTTATTAATTATGTAGTTGTTACTGAAAGGAAGTGCTATACCCTATCACAGTCAATGTCTTTTTGACAGACATTTCTCAGTGATCCTTAAGAGCAAATGCTGACAAAGAAGGCCCTTCACTTCTGGGCAGCAATATTATAGGTTTATTCCTCTTGAACCTGTGTCCTTTCATACACAATACAAATTGCTTCATTAAACTATTAAAATAATCCAACCAACATCTTGCATACATTTTTACACAATTTAAATTATTTAAAAATCGATTTTTGTTTATGACTTGAGATGTCAGTCTACTGTTCGTTCATACATTTTTAATGTGAACATTATAGAAAAATGAATATAAAATATTATAATAATTACGCTTTATGATTGAAATTAAGCTATATTAAATTGCATTAAATCTGCCCTTTAAAAATCATGTAATTTCATAAGAGAAATGTTCTGCAATTATATCTGCATAATTGTGTTCTCTTAAATCTTTTGTTTAATGATGCAAAATTTTTCTTAAATCTACAACGCTGCCTGCTTACAATATTGCAGAAAGTAAATTTTCAATATGTGCATTTCATTTCCTTGCTAAATACTTACTGAAAATTGTGCACATCTTTCTTGACACTTTTTTAATGTCTGTTTGTTAGAAGGTCAGCTTTAGAGAGGCAAAATTAACTAACTGACTTAAAATGTATGATTTTTATATTTATAATCTATCTAGAACATAATATGTAATTGGGCAAGGGTCCTTTGAAAAGGAAGTTGAAATGGTAACTTTAGGGAATAATTTTCATTTTTGCCTTCAAATACAATTTTATTTTTATTTTTAATTTAGATCTGGTGAGAGCGAATACACTTTATAAATCCCCCTTGCATCGGTGATACTAATTATTTCAGAACAATGCATCATGACACATTAGTGAAGAATTTCATCATGTTTTTCTCATTAATATGTAATATTTCATAATTCATTGAACTTGGAAAAAAAATTGACAATGGATATCCTTCAGTCTTTATGAACTTCTTCTTGCACAAATGTTATTACAGAACTTTTTATGTTCAAGTAATATATCTAAAAGAAGATTTACAAAAAGATAAAATTAATATTTTATCAGAGAAATTGATAGGATTGTTTACTATACCAAAGAACCCTGCATTGCCTGGATGTGTATTTTGTAAAGCTTTACTGTCCATTAATTAACTTCATATTTAAGTTTAGCTCAAAATGAATTGCTAATTGAGAACAACGGTAACAATTAATGAATTAGAAAATTTATATTTCTCTGACAAATTTCTCGCATCGTATCTATGATCCTTTACTATTTTTTCAACTATAGTCTTCTTCTTTCACTCATTCAATGATGTTTAATTTCATTTATTTAATTTTATTATTCATTCATAATAAGACATGGGTAAATTTTAATGCAAACGTTCTTGTGCTTCCAGGATGAGGACATTGGGGGTAGTGACTGCAGTTTGGCTGTTGGTGCTCCTGCGAGACACACAGTCACAAAGTCTTGATGAGCTAATTTCTGAGGTGTTCCACAAAAAGTCTGATACAGACAATGTGGCAACTCCTGCTCCACCTCCACCTCCCGAGACTTCTACAAGCAGGGTCATCGATGAACAAGAAGAATCAGACTGCGAATGTGTGCCGTATTATCAATGCAGCGACAATGGCACTATCATCGATGATGGAGTTGGGCTTATTGATATAAGGTTGGGCTCTAGGTCTTCTCATTCTAAAGAACCCTGTTCTTGTACACCTGGAGGGTGAGTGGGCTTGTTTCTGGTGCAGCATGCAACTTTTTTCTGATCTTAATTGGTTTTGAAAGTTCAGCATTCTTTAGATGGAACATGGTATGATTTATTGTTAATTAATGTGCCTTTGTCTAAGAACACAATAATTAAAAAAGACATTAATTTCTTTGAAACTTTATATTTCAGGAAACTTTAATGGTATGTTAATAAGCAAACATTCTTTCTATTCTTTTTGTACTGAAAAAGCTAAACTAAAATTTCCTTCAAATGAACATATTTTTCTATCTTTATTGGATCTGCAATAGAACAAATTGTAGATGAAGAGAATTGAAGAATCATGTATTTTATTGCAGTGAGCAATTTTTCTTTTAAATCTGATTTATTTATTTTTCTCTAAAATTTGACTAATCATTTTTATGGAAATTCAACAGTACTCTCACAACATGGTTTACAATAAATTTCTTAAAATATTCAAACTTGATTGTCAGGAACATTTCAGGTAATTACACTTTATTTGTTTACATTATTTTGTTTCTTTTCTGTGATAAAAATTTGCTAACCTACTTACTGCAATAAAAACATGATATTCCAAAATATGCTAAGATTGTTATTTTTATACTAGTCACTGAAACTTCTTTACTTAACAAAAGCTTAAAAGTAAATGCTGCACGAAACACCAAATTATAGATTTATTCATCTTTTCAGCATGAAGATTGGTTGAACAAATCTCAATGCATCAAATTTCAATGAATTTTAAGAGCATCTGAAAATCTAACATGAAAGATCGGGGGGAAAAAAATCTGTGTAATTTTGTGTTTTTACATATATTTTCTCATTGCCTCTTTTAAAGAGCACATAAATGAACTTTAGAATCACTCTCAATACCGGTTGAATTTTGTTTTCATTTCAATCCTTGTTATAATTTAGAGATGTATTGTTAAGAAAAATACCATATTGCTCAATTCTATGAATATAATTTTTGATGTTTGAGTATACAAGTCTGTGTAAACTTACACTTTAGTATGGTTAGTAAATAGAAAGTTGATAGTTAGACTATTCACAACCACAGTTTGTAAAACATTCATGAGAGGATAATCCCTGTCTCTCTGGTTTCAGTAGATAACACCAGAGCATGCTTTGTGTTGTGAACATGATTGAAGATGATTATTATAAACTGATGGCATATTCTTGTTGAATACCTTCACACTGATTTTATTGCATATTTATCCATTAAGAATTTTTATTTTGAATTTTTTAATAATTTTCTACTTTTGGGACATTTCCAGAAAAAATATGAGTACTAAACAAAATTTCACAAGGTGAAAGTCATGCTATAAAAGTACAAATATTTATTTTAGATTTGCAATACAACTTGCAACAAAATAACTCGATGTTACACTCCACTTCTGAAGTATGTACTGCAAAAGAGCCTAATGATGTTCTAAGCATCAGTTTTATACAAAAAAGTTGCTGATAATTTTTTCCTGAATATTATAGTGTATCCCTTGAATTATTTTCCTAGTATTTTTTATTTTCCTAGTCCTGTCATCTGCATTGTACAGTCATTCAGCAAGATGCTACAACTTCTACTAAAATGTTCACAAAAATATTATTTCACAATGATGAATATTGAAATTCCTTTCTAAAGAATTAAGTGAACGAATGAAATTGCTTTTTCTTGATATCCCTAATTAATTATTAAGAATAGAATATTGATAGGTTTCCTAATTCTCCTGTACAATATAATTTGATTATTTTTCAAAGCAAAGTTGTTGCTTTACATGAAAAATTATGTATTACATTCAATAATTTGAAAAGAAAGAGTCCTCTTCACTGCACATGTTTTAAATTACTCAGAGACACACACAAGACACATTTGAAAATAAAAAAAAGTAAAATCAGGATGTAGTCGTTTATTGAAACCAACTGCTTTTTATTAAAATTGGGCACAAAATTACAAAAGCATGTGCAGATTATTATACTTTTCCACACACTTTACACATAGTTTTTCGACAACGAAATAAATAAAATCAAATAACGTTATTCTCTGCAAGCCACTACAGAAAATATTATGATTTTCTAGGGGAAGGAATTAAAATGTTCTCATATTAATTTCATTTATTATCAATCTTTATGGCATCCTTTAACATTTTGTATTATTAATATCCTAGATACAACAAACTTTTTCAGTATTACTGAAGTATGCTAAAGTGAGATTTAAAAAGTGGAGATTATTTGAAACCTGACCAGTGTATTATTAGCGTATGTATTCTTGAGTCCTGTAATATCTCCCCCCACTCCTTTACGAACTTATTTGAATTGTGAATAAACAATAGCAACAAAAATTGTTGAAAATTCTGATTACCAGACATGTTTGATTCCAAATAATAGAAACAATTTTACATTGAAAAATTAACTACAGATTGATAAGGTAGTCCTGTTGTAATAACTAACCCCCTACTTATCTCGCATCTAGCAAAATGTGGGGCTCAAGAAAACGTGCACTAGTAATAATAGCAGTGTTATAATTCTCTGATAATTGGATTAATATGAAAGTTCAAGTGCTTATATTCACAAATGCTTCATCTATTCATTTCACTTGCATTAGTTAATTTCTTTTTTAGATAAAAGAAATTAGCATTAGGTTGAAATTTCAATGTTTTGAATTCAAAGCAATTTATTTTTTTTCCTTTGTTAAAAAGGGAGTATTAAAGATAATCGACACAGACTTCCAGAAGATATACAATAATTAAGAACAATCAACTTCAATAACTTGTTGGGTTGTGTAGTGAATAACCAAAAAAATAAATGGAATATTTGGAGTGGCTAAATATTTTCTTATAAATCTGTTTTCTAAATTTACATGTTAATAGTGTTAGATTAACTGACTTAAAAATACATGAAATATCACATTCTAACTAAATAAACAAAAACTTCCTTTATTTTCATACAGCTAATATGAAAATAACTTCTTGAACCTTTCATAACTTCAAAATTTTCAGATAAAATCTAAGTTTGGATGTATTTTTACATGGAATACAGCAGAAAAGCAAAATGGGTTCTTCAGAATGAATCATTTCTGTGATTCTAAGAATTGAAAAGACTATTCTTCATTAATTATTTTATATTAAATTACATTTTTCATTCAAATTAAAATAAAATTTTAATTGGATATGAATTAATTAACTATTTTTGATGTTATCCTAATGCGTTGCTTTCACAATTTTTATTTTCAGAATTAAAGATGGACCTTGTTCAGATTATTTAGATGTCTGTTGCAAGAAACCTCGAACAGAACATATCACTCCAAAGCCGGTGGAGAGACGTGGTTGTGGAGAGAGACATCCCGATGGAGTGGGATTTCGAATCACAGGAGATGAGGACAGTGAGGCTCAATTTGGAGAGTTCCCATGGATGATAGCTGTTCTCAGAGATACAGATGAAAAGAAGAATGTTTATCAGTGTGGAGGTGCTCTTATTCACCCAAAAGCAGTGATTACAGCTGCACATTGTGTTGTTGGGTAGGTGCAAAAACAAACGTGTATAATATAATATTTATTGCTCATACACATTTACAAATGTTATATGCGTAGAATATACCTTTCATATACTTAGAATAAACAGCAATTCTCACAATTGACATAGCATGAAGTGGTAAAAAGAAACTTTACAATATATTACTTTATCAGACTGCTCATGTATTTCTTGGAGCCTAATACTACATGAAATATAATGGTATATGTAAAAAAAAGTAAGAGTAGATTTAAATATCAACGACTAAGGGTTTAATTTTTAAGTGCTAAAAAAAGGAGTAAATGTAAACTTCAATGCTTTGCAATATTTAAACATAAAAATAATAAATGGCAATTCTGACTATGAGTATTTATTTATTTATGTCAAAAACAGTTAAAAACTGTGTGTGACATGCTATGGGGAGAAGTTAATTTGAAGTTACACTTATACTCCAAAGCTTACACATTTAGATTTATATAGTAATATTCAGTATTTATTAGAAAAGTAATTAAATCTTCAAATACGTAAGAGTTAAATGTTCTTTATGAAACGTTCTATGAATGTTTTGATTTTGCTACTCAAAGGAATTATTGACGAGTGAACTCTGTAAACATTCTTACTTCTTGATTGTAATTCATCGTATTTAAGTGGTGTTTGCTTAAACAAAACAGAAAGCTGAATCATTGTTCAGGGATTTAAAAAAAAATATTGAAATTATGTTAATAAGCTTATTAATCATACAATGAATGTGATGAAATGTTACAAAACAAATATTTATTTCAAAGAAATAAAAATATCTTACGTTTTTAATTACTCATAATTATTACTTCAGTACACTATTGTTCATTCTTTAATGTTCAATGATCCTGAATTTTGATGCCATTTAGTGGGTTTTAGGAATTTCTGTCTACTATATTTTTTGTTTCCAGGAAGAGGCCTTCTCAAATGAAAATTCGGGCAGGAGAATGGGACACACAAACTAAAAATGAATTGTTTCCTCATCAAGATAGAAAAGTATCTCATATCTTAGCTCATCGTGAATATTACGCAGGAGCATTGTACAATGATGTTGCACTAATGATTCTTGAAGAGCCTGTTGATATGGCAGAAAATGTTGATGTAATTTGCCTTCCAAAAAAAGGAACAGTATTTGATAAAACACGCTGTGTAGCTAGTGGTTGGGGAAAAGATGTGTTTGGTAAGAAAATAAGTATTGCTTTGCACCTGCAGAAATTAACTTTATTTTAGAATACCACCAAGTAAGATTATATCATTTTTTGTATTTTTTTGTTATAATATGGTACTAGATGTGTAAATGATCAAACAGTAATAATACTCGGTATTTGCTAGTCTTCTTGTCCTTTGAGTATGAAAAGGATGGATTTTGATGTTCTTGAATTCAGGTCATTGGTAGAAAAAAAGAATTCTACCACCTTGTTGTCGCTGTCACCATTGTTGTTGGTTGCCAACTTTTCAGCCCGTCCACTGATCTTAAGAGATGAGATCAGTTAACAGTATGGTTGACATATGGTACTGCACAGAGGAAAGCCAATGAAAACAAATGGTATATGATGCTGTAGGTGATTCAGAGTAAGGTGGAAGCCCTGATGAAGGCCCAATAAGTTAGAAACCAACAAAACAAAATAAAACAAAAAAGTAGAATTATTTTTTCTAAAAATGACTCAAGAATATAAAAATCCATACTTTTATTAATAGTACTAAATATAATACTAAGTGCTTTCTCTGAATTGATTATAGGCAAAGAAGGACAATATCAAGTAATTCTGAAAAAAGTTGAAGTTCCTGTTGTTCCTCACCAAGATTGCGAAGAAGCATTACGAAAAACACGTTTAGGAATCCATTTTAACCTTCATGAAAGCTTCATTTGTGCAGGGGGAGAACGAGGAAAAGATACTTGCAAGGTAAAATTGATATGATAATTCATATTGTGAAGAAATCACATTTCAGTAAATGAAACTGAAATGTATTTTTTTTAAATTGAGTCTTACTTCTTAAAATTAATTTCCTTCTTTATGTTCTAAGACAGAATTTGAAAGAGAAGATTTGAATAAGAATTAGAAATCTTTTGGTGAATTTAATATATTTAACCATTAATTTCATTAAACTTAAAATACATTCAGTGACTTTTAAGGAATATTTCAAGGTGTACTCATGCCTTTTTAATTTTTATTTTGCCAGGGTGATGGAGGAAGCCCATTAGTTTGCCCAATCAAGGATGACCCACTACGTTATCAACAAGTAGGAATAGTAGCATGGGGTATTGGATGCGGAGGAGATGTGCCAGGAGTTTATGTAAACATTCCATTATTTAGAGATTGGATTGATGAACAGCTTGCCAAATTTGAGTTAGACATTTCTGTTTATAGTTATTAATATTCCTGACAAGAATTCACAAATCAGAGAATGTATTTCATAATCATTCCGACAAATTTCAACTAATTCACATCATCTACATTCATTCATCATCAATTATATTTGCATTGTTATATTGAATCCATCGTTCTAGAATGGAAATGTTTGGCTTTTACATTTACAATGTGGCCTGCCACACAGTATTGTATAATATAAGACTATTGATGTATAATATGAAATGATATATGATGTCATTATTAATAAATTATAATATTATTTGTACCTTTAATTGCCAGCCTGCATTCTATATTTTTACAGATATTGTCGATATCTTTCACCTCTTCATATCATTGGTGTGCACAAACTGTGACACATCTTAAAAATCATTGTTTTTTAGTTGAATGAAGAAATAAGCTGTGTTGGAAAAATATGCTCAAAAGTAAAAATAATTCAGAAAGGTGGAACAGACAACTGTCAGGAAATATATTAAAATACTTCCTTTTGCAACAAATAAAGTAATTATCTCTTTGGTTTAAAAACATTCTCCTGCAAAATAATGATTTAGAGGTGTCTGTTTTTTTGTGAACTGATCTAAGTTTCTTCCCTATGAATTCAGTAAGTTATCTACTCAATTGTGGTAAAAGTTTAGAAAATACTTTTAAATTTTAATTTAAATGAGTTGTTCATGGTAAAATGTAGCAAAAACTTGAAGATTATAAATACCAAAACTATTGTTTTCATTAAAAAACTAATAAACTTTGAAAGAATGTTCTATATAAATTGAAATTTGTATGAAAATGTGAACATTTACAAAAACTGATACTAGATTTTTATCTTCCTTACTTTGAATTTTAGAATATAACTTTAAGTACAAAACGTATAGGTCCTTTTCTTTACAAGAATGTGACTATTTCACATCATGATAATATGAAGAATATTCTAAAAAGAAGCAATAAAAAATGTGTACCTATTTGTGGAAAATAAATATCGATAAGTAATTCTTACCTTTGCTGATGTAAACTGATTTAACGCTTAAACACAGAAATCTTGAGAAATAGAATGCCAGTTTCAGTTTCAATTATTTCATCTCTCGATAAAAAAAATTAAATTTAATTGCTATAAACATCATTCTAATGACTAGTGAACTAAAAGAATGTATTCAAACATATCAAGATCACATGAAATATGGTTTCATAAAAAATATTGTACATTTAGTTTTGTGATATACATTGACTTTTCAGACAGTGCTTTATAAGTAATTATACTATCTTGAATAAACAATGCATACACATTTGTTCATCAACAAAGGAAAGGTTAGGGTAATTGTAATAACTTTATTTTCAATAAACCAAAATACAATTATATTTCAAATATGCCATTAATATTACAGTCGTACCAACATTAATGCACACATCTACTAATCACAACATAACCTCACACCTATCTCGCTTTATAAACACACCACAGCTTTAAACAAATATTTTTCAAATAGTTAACTAATGGCAGAACAGTGGTTCGTAACATCTTTCTTAATTAAGAAAGTTCTATTTTAAAACCAATAATTTTTCATGGTTAATTATAATTACAATTTATAATTCGTACGTAACTGATGAAATGTACTCAAGACAGGGTCAAGAAATACCACCACTGTACTTATCTTTTTCAGCCACGATGGAAATGTTAGTACAATATCTAAATAATTTTCGGGCACTTACAAACAGTGGGATCACATGTTACCGTAAAGCTCCGCCATTATTCCCATTCCCTTTCCTGCAACAAAGCATCATGGGTAGGAAACTCTGTATCGGTGACGTCACATAATTAGAGTAAATACAAAGTAGACTGATGTGCAGTGGCGTGCACGGTGCTCGTGATTTCTTGCGATTTTATAATGGATAACAACAAGATACAGGTAAGAATTTTGTTTGACGTGTGTATAAACGTGCAATGAACACAATATGACGAATCTGACCTCCTGTAACGATTTTAAAGGCGATAAATGGACTATTTATTGACAATTGTGAACCATTGTAATCTGTAATACGAATGGTAGGGAAGTGCGTGCCGCAATTATAATGCATACAGTGTTGTACTAATAGGTGCCTGTCATTATTTTAATTTCAGCTTATTGGATCACCATGTGGACATCACGGACCGTATACATTCTATAAAGCTTTTAAATATCACAAAAACGGAAGACATAAAATATTATCTCTTAGTGATTTTTTCTTTGTGAAATTATGGAGTGATTCAGATTTAATGAGCATAGGAGAACTAATTCTGTTGTGGGTTGACAAGAATAGCGAACAAGTGTTAGCAAGTTTACGTTTATACTTTTTACCTGAGAATACACCGGAGGGAAGAAATGATGATCACGGAGAGGTGAGTACAAATAAATAATTCTTTTAATCTTCAGTTGTAGTGATTAGTTTTTTGGTGTTTGTTACGTGAATTTAAGATAGTTGTTGTGAAAAGCCAACGACGAGACAACGCTTTTAATTATAGAAATGTGAATGAAGTGTGTTAATTACAATGTGCTACAATTATCGTCATTTCGCGGAGTGAATTTTTGGGAAACCAACGGAGTGTTTTTTATTGAAAAGTGAAGTTTAGAAACTGTGTTCATCATGAAATTGTGAAATGAATCGTGTTTAGTGTAATTACCTTTATGAATCTTCAATGGAATATTGATTTGTCAATTAGAGTATAAAATGTTACGAATTATGGCAGTGAACATAAAGAATGCGCGAGACCTGAACGTGTTGTCCTTGAGATAGAGTGGATTTTATGTTTTTTATAATTTATAGTGGGCGAAAAGAAATCTCCAATCGTGTAAGATGTGAAACGATAAGCGACGGACTGGTAAAGAATACAATTAGGCAATAATAAAGATAACGATGCGTTGTTAGATACAAGGCAAATTTTAAAGCAGAGATTTGGAGAATCTTATCGCTACGCATTAATTGACCATATCTAAAACGGGTGCGTCGCGCTGCAATAGAAAATACACAACGCTATCACAAAACGGGAAATTTGACAGGCAGTACTGAGACATTATGAAGAAAAGTGTGGAATGTTTTTTAATTACCTTAATTACTTTAATTTAATAAGTCGAATCAATATTTACGGAACGAGTCTATTTAGAAACGTGGGTGACGATTTCAAATGCTTGTAAGAAAAATATTTGTTGTGTAACAATCTTCGAAAACCATGTCTATTTAATTTCACATTTGCGGATATTCTTATGAAGACATTTTGGACAAATAATTTGATTTTAAAGCCTTCTAGAGAACAGTTTTTGCGAGTTTCTTATTTCGCTTTGCGTTTCGTATCGAAAATTCGTCTCTTTCAAAGCGAGGGAGAGACGTGAGAAGGAAAACAGCTATTTTGTGTTCGCAAGACGCGCTTTGATCTCTATTCGATTCATTTGTTACCGACGTGAGTTGTGCGGGAATTTGCCTCTAAATAAAGTAATAGAAAAGTGTTATGTTGCTGCAGAATGGCATGCAAAAGTTATTTTCAGTTGAGACCTTTATTTTTTGCGAACGTGAATTAGGCGCCAAAAGATACTACGGCAAATATCTGATATGCGCGCCGCATGTGTCAATGTTTTATTATGTTTAATAGAATACGGTAGATACATCTGGCGTTGTATTGACACTAACATAACTGACATTAGGAATTACAAAATAGTTGGCTGGGTATTTTTTCGAACCAATTGCTGGTGAATACAGATTTTGATAGACACTCAGTTGCGTTTTTCTATACACAATTGGGAGTTAGACGTTAACATTTTAGAATTTTCAAAGGTATACTTAGTTCAGAGTAATAAATAGATGTCAAACACAACATGCATTTTAGATCTTCCTTTGTCACTGAACTAGCTATGCGTGATTTGGCGTGGTTCTTAAATTCGCGGTTCGCCTCTTCAGTCGACTGCCAAAACCTGTGACAAGCTTGATTAATAGCTTGTTGTTTCGTTAGTGGTTTCCATCTAGTACTTCACAGTGACTTAATGTTTTTCACGAGAATTAGCTGCATTTGTTAGTGGAGCTCTGAATATGGAAACGCGAAATTTAGTGACGTCGAATATTCCCGCTCCTTCTATAGCTGTTATGAACATATCCGTAAATAGCCATTCCATTCCCCTTGGCTTAAAAGATTCAGGCAGCGGACTTTTTCCCAAAGCCTTGTTGGCATGAAATTTAATACATCTCGGGATTACGTGTTAGATTGCTTTCCTCATTAGAAAGGCATTGCGCAATGGACACTATTTAGCCGTAAATGCTAGATGCTCTCATGCTGTCATTGAGTTGCAATCTTGATTTTTGTTGCTTGATAGTATAACAATGACAGTGTAATAATGTCACAATTCATTATCGCTTGATCAACGTAATTATTTTTACCATTTCTAAAAGAATATGTAAATGGTCCATTTTACCTTTTCATCT